TGTATTTTGACATACGTACATGAAATACAGCTCATTCCAATTAGGATCCCATTCTTGTGGTTGTGTACATAATGTGGAGTTGCACTGGTCATGTTAAAATATAGTCTTTAAAAAATATATATAGTCTTATCAATTTTGAAATGAAATATTAACTCTGGTCACTGTGGCCATGCAGTAGATCAGTATAACTTCTCTCACCTAACTTAAACGTCTTACACTTTGACTAACAAGGTTCTTCTCCCCCCATTCTCTACTTCCCTCAATAAATGGAACAACCATCCTACTCTTCATGTCTGCATTCTGCTCTTTTAGATTCCGCACATAACTGAAATCATGCTTAGAACAATGTAACTTTTATCATTTATATTTGTATGTGTATTTGAACTTGATGTCGAAACATGTGAAATGTTTTATATAGTTATGAACTGCATGATGGCTTTTCATTCAGCGATGGATTGCATATAAGCTAGTGATCTCATAAGATTGTATGACTCAATGATAGCATATGTTTGCATAGTGACCGAATGCATGACTGCATTTAGTTTCACTTCTAGATGAATTCTGGATCTTTTTGAAATATAATATCAGTATTAACAGCATTTTGGTACTACATAAGACAAAGAGGAAAGCACTAGTATTGTAATTTGGCTTCGTTCTTATGGTCACTACCCTGGCAGTGAGCATTGTGTTATAGATAGGAGGAAACTCGGGATCCTTGAGAGAAGATAGGAATAAGGAAGCAAGAGATGCTCTTAGGAAGGTACAATTGATACCTTAAATAATTTAACCATCTGTCTATACTTATTCCTTATTGTGGACTCTTAAGACTTTGGAATAAAGTTGTGTACCTGATGAGCAAAGTTAGCAAAAGAATATTGATTACCATAAGTGATGTTAGAAGTAAATGAGAATGACATCAGGAATGCCCAGAAGGGGTTCTTTGGGTGATGAAGATTCAGAAAGGAGGGACATAAAAAAGAGACTTATCAAATTGTGTATGTCCTCAGGAGGTATTGAGAATTACAACATTATAAATATTGTTTAGGTAAGGCTTGTAGAAACAGGAAAATTGAGAACCACTTATTTGGCAGAGGAGAAAACTGAGGCATGACTTTATCCAAAGTGTTATAGCTCATTAATCAGTGATCAGGGACTAGATTCTGGTTTTCCTAGTTCTAGTTCATATTTATTATTTATTTTCCACTCAGCCCCCCAAAATTGTTTAATTGGCATATTGGTAGGTTGGGAAAGTCTCAGAGGGTACTGCTTTCAGATGGGTGGGGAAAGCTCATTAAAAAGCATGCATGACTTAGAATAGATGGAATTGAATGGCTCAGAGACCTTGTAACTGAGAATCATGGCCACAAAATCATTTGCTTTCAATGAACCATATACTTTTACAAATTGTGCTAAACAGACCCCCCACACACACACACACCCAGCCTAAGTATTTCATTTTATTGGATCTCTAGGCTTCATCAAATTAGGGAGGCTGAATTTGGCAACCTGGGTTGATTAGATTAAGAGCATATGGATGGGGTAGTGAGTACAGAATCTGTTCTGAGCCCTGTGGTAAGTTGAGGCTGATGGTGGTCATTCATTAGGTGGTAACCCTGTGTGTTTCTCTGATGGCCCATCCTATGGGGAATTCACTTTTTGTACCTCTCAGTCACTTGTGGTTATCTGGTGCATTTTAGGGTGAGTGGATTGAGGCCCTACCAATTTCTTCAATCCATCACAATGTAAAGCAGGGATTATTATATTAGGAATTGGGCCATATGGTCTCTGTTTTAACCACAGATCTCCTTTTAAGCACAAAAGCAGCCCTTAGACATTATGCAGATTCATGAGTTGGCCATGTTCCAGTAAAACTATTTGCAAAAATAGGTAGTGATCTGCATCTGGCCCATGGGCCCTGGTTTGCTGAGCCTGCTTTATTATAGGAGGGACATGTTGGACTACCCTAATAAACAAGAAATGTTTTTGCTCTTCCTTCAGTCTTTTTAACATTTGGGGTAATTTGAAGTTGCAGTCAAATTAATATAACCATTCAAGTATTCTTCCAACATGACCTTTACATACCAAAGTCAAACAGGTGTGTTTTGATATTTTCCTAAATTACATTCTTGTTAGCAGCATTTCCCCATTTTGGCGCAGATGTTAAAAAAAATTTATTTTACAAGCTTTTACTTCAGAAGAGGGTACTCCCTATTTCGTGTTGTAAACAATTTGGTTAGATTTTAAACAAGACATGAGATATTGAGATAGTCTTCTTTAATCAAGCAAAACTTAAATTAAAATTTATGATTTAGGTTACTAATCAAAAGACTGTAGGAATCTATAATTTAATTATTTAATCTATAATTTTTTAATCTTTAGATAGACTGTACATCCACTGTATTATAAGTTAATTGATGTAATGCCAGGTCAAGAAATAGCATTTTTAATGAAATGAAATATTATCCTGTTAATAATGAGGCTTCTGCAGAAATATGAAAATGTCTTTGTGAACTACTGAAATGTGAAAATTCAGTTTTCATGTGATTAGAACTGCATATATTTGATACTATCATAAGGAGCAATTGCCATAGAGTTTTTACATAGTTAATGGGAAGAGATTTTGATCCCTAATGTTATTATTTTCAGGAAAATTTTGTTTTATCATAAGGTTGGTTAAATATATAAACATAATATTTCAGTTGGGATTATTTAAATCAATAGTGGACTACAACATGAAACAAAAGTGAAAATTTTCTAAACTTAAAGCTAATAGTGCATTGATAATGTCTTAGCAGTATTTGTCAGAAAGAAAATGTTTCCAAAATAGTAGATTTTCCATGGTCACCAGAATGACTATGGAAAATCTACTATTTGCAGTTTTCTGATCATTGCAGCCATGGGGAGAAAGCCTTTTCTTCAGTTCCCTCCTGTACTTCAAGATCTCCTTGCTTGTGTTGTTCTCTGAGTTCTAGAAGTGCCCCTGTTTGCTACTCCTTCCACCTCCTCTAGCTGTTTTCCTTTTCCTTACCACAGGCTCTTCAGTTACTAACTGCCTTGTCATAGCATCTCTTAGAGGCTCAGTTCCAAGTCTGTAAAGCTTCTCAGCTCCTTTTTTACTTTATTTTATTTCTTGGTGAAGGTTAAATATGTAATAATAAAACACTACTAGACCAATGTCAGGCCTGTTGCAGTCAGGTAGTAAATCATGGCTGTCATTGTTGTTGTTATTTAAAAATGCTACATTTAATCTCTTGACTGGTGCATTTGCCATTAACTCCTGTTTTACTCTTAATGTGTTTTTTCTCCTGAAACACTTTGCTCAGACTTGCTTGCCCCTTGAGCTCTGGCACTTTCTCCCTGTCATTGCTGTCCCACCTTTGCCTTGGGAACTGCAGTCTGCCTTCTGACCACATGTTGCTAAGTGCCCCTGTACTCACCAGGTTATGGCTCTTACTTTACTCCATTCTCAACCCCACATTGTGGAGGCTGTCTCTTTTCTTAATTTTTTGTGACAAGGCAGGCTCCTGATATTCCTCATAGTTTTGACTTTGAGTCCTCTTGTCAGCTTCTAGATGTTTATGCTCTTCAAGGTTCTGTTGTTCATACCCTCTTCTTCCCTCACTGCAGGAGCCACCTCCTCAGGGCTTCCAGTAGCTGGATGCACAGATGACTATAAAACATGCATTTCTAACCCACCTGTATTGGAATTTAGAATTTCTATCTTTGGGTCAACCCTGGGAGCCACGGACATCTCACACTTTGTGTGTCCTAAACCCAGTTCATTGTTTACTGTCCCCAGCTGGTTTCTCCAGATTTCTGTCAGCTGCTAATGACACTAACCACCAGGTTTTGGTGCCCTCTTTTGCCACAGCTTACCCTCCTTCTCCACATTGTACAAGTTGGATTTTTCAGGTGTATTGTGAATTATCTTCCCACATTTTGTTGTTAACGTATATACATATAGAGATGCCTGGAAATACTTCAGATGGTTCAAGTCTTATATCTCTGCGTGATTGGATTTTATATTGGCTGAATTTTATTTTTTATAAAGGCTTTTATTACTTATGTCATCAAATCCAGCCTATTGTCATCTTCTCAGCCCTCCTTGACCTGATCTCATCCTCTGGAACTTGTGGCTTTATCTCAGTGGCCTCATGCTTTCTTGCCCTTAAACCTGTACTTGGTGCCTGGTTTGTTTGTGTGTTCCATCTCCAGTCTTCGTTTTCAGGGCTCCTGCCATGTAAGCTTTCCTTAATGAGGCCCTTCTCCCAACTAAAGGTGTTTCTTCCTTCCATGAGCCCCCTGCTCTCTCTGCTACTCTTTTGTTCTTCTTTCTGATCTTCTTCCATGTGTTTTATTAGATTGTAAGCTCCATGAGGGCGGAGATTGGGACTTATCCTTCCCCCTTTTGGTTATAGCCTTCTAACATTTCTTTTTTTAAAAAAATATTTTTTTAGTTGTAGATGGACACAGTTTCTTTATTTTTATGCCGTGCTGAGAATTCAACCCAGTGCTTCACACATTGAGGCAGGTGTTCTACCACTGAGCTCCAGCTCCAGCCCATCTTCTAATATTTCGGGAACTACAGGCTATGGTTTTGGTGGAATGGTCAACTGTTCAGACAACAGGATGCTCTTCTCCTGGAGTTCGAGTCATAAGATACAAGGACTGACCAGTGATTTGTACTGATTGTACCTGGCTCAGGTGTTCTGAAGAAGCCACTCATAAGTTCCTGCCTCCCAGATTCTTGGAGCTGATCTGACCTTGGAACTCTCTGAAGCCTGATTCTCCATATTTTTCCTCTGTGTCTGTGAGCTGTCATATCTTTATAATAAACATCTCCTTTCACACTCTTAAGTTAACCAAAACCAAATTTCTCTTGCTTTAACCCAGAGATCCCTGCCAGTAGAGGTGTTATGATTGGAACTGACTGCACTTAATCATTCTAGTTCTCATATTGATTGTGATGATTTTTTTTTATTTCTTTTTAAAAATGAAAACAAACAATCAAAAACCAGCCAGAGACTGCTGCTGCTTTGAAACGGACAATAGAAGCCCTGATGGACAAAGGAGCCATAGTGAGGAACTTGGAAAACCTGGGTGAGCGAGTACTTCCTTATAAGATCTTCGCCCACAGTCAGCAGCACAGGAAAGGCGGGTAAGTTTCTTCGTGAAATGCGTGGAAAATGTCTTTGATGGACTCATTAGAGAATACTTATCTATCTTAGAAATTATCATAATTTCGCAGTCAAATCCCTCTTTTATTGGGTGTCATTCAGGTTGTATCACAGCAGTGTCATGTTGTAAATAGGATGCAGTTATGCTGGCCCTTGGCAGACTATAATCAGAGCAAAATAGGCCATCCTACACACAGAGGCTTATAAGCTCTCAATTATGGGAGGCTTTTCTTGTCAAACTGAACATCTTTGTCCCTAACATTTTCTTTTAACTTTAGTCTTTAAAACACCTCAGTGAACAGTGTGTGTCCACATACTCAGCACATTCTTTTTGAGTAAGTAGGTTGCAGAGAAGCAGATGTGCTTCTTCTGACCAGTATACACCAGCAGAGCTAATCCACATGAGAAGTATGGTTTTACCCACTCCGATTAATGATGAGTTTTCTGTCGTGGCATTATTTTCTCTCACAGGATACAGCATCTTCCTCAAACAAGGGTTTGATACTGTGCTAATAACTATCTTTGTAAATAATGTATAGAGGGGGTTTGAAGCTATTTAAGCTTTAGTGGTGTCTTTTTTACACGCAAGGTTTCTGGTTTGGGGGAAGAATCTTCTCATATTTTGTTGGGTTTTGTAGGTCAGTATTAGAGAAGATGGAATTAGTCTTTAGCACAGTGGGGCAAGCCCAGGGGCAAAAGATGCCACTCTCCCTCCAGTACTCAGCAGCTCTCTGTGGTGAGCAATTCATGTAGCTTTTCTTTTCCAGCTTCCTTGGGCATGGAATTCAGGTGGTCATTCTCCCATTCATATTGTCCCGGGGACCAAGCAGTATAATCTCTGCAGATGTGCTTTGTGGACAAAATGCTGCTTCAGTCTTGTTTTGTGGTTATGTGCAGGTGGAATGCATGTTGGGGCCTCAGTGGAGTCACACCTCCACAGAGGCTTTCTTACGGCATTTCAACTTCTACTGGGATGTGGCATGTGCTACAGACCTCCTCTTTTGCTTGCCTCACATTATTTTTATACTAGTGTTCACCTTCTTGAGAGTACCTGGGAAGAGAGTACCTGAGCATTGCTAAGCAACAGGAAATACACAATGGCTAGGCTTCTTCCACAATCAGGGAGTGAGGAATGGAGATTGTGAGGGGTATGTGTAACTAAGTTCCCTTCCTTCCTCCCTCCTTTCCTTTTTTCCTTCCTTCTTTCTAGACTTAAACACAAATGGGTATGGCTTTAACAACAAGATGGTGGATTTTGTTTATAAAGGAGCATATAAGTCATGTAGTGATAGGCACCTGTAGTCCCAGCTGAAGGAGAAAGATGAATTGAGCCAGGAATTTAAGGCCTGCCTGGGCAACTTAGACTCCCATTTCCAAACAAACAAAAGAGAACAGAGCATATAAGATCTGGCCAGAATTATTAGCCAGGTTCTCAGATGGAAGGCACTGTACAGGGAGAAAAGTCAGTTTCCTCATTCATGTGGTACTGCAGGGGTATCCAGTAGGAGGACCTCCTTCTACAGTTTTTCCAAGCACAGGACTTTTAACTTTTTTGAGGGCTGGTGTGACCAGCACTCTAGAATATGCACTTCTAACAAGTGCATGGGGGAATGCTGACGTTGCTTGTTTAGGATCACGCTTTGAGTGCCATCATATGAACTCCTTTAGTATCAGGCCTCTGCGTGCAGTGCAGTGCTGAGTGTGTGTGTGTGTGGGCGGGGGCAGGGGTCACTCTTTTCTTTATGGGTAGAATAAATTCCCTGAAACTGCTGACAGCCCTAGCCCTGCACTTTGAATTCCTGACCATATCTGCATGTGCTTCACCAAGGACTTGGTTACGTTCACTTAATTCATTCGCCTTTAAAGATGTTATTTCTGTTTGTTGTTGTTTGTTTGTTTGTTTTAACTTCACTGTCCTTAGCAAAGGAGAGACAGCACACTTAGAGTTTATACATGTATGTGTGGTATACATTCATAGAAAAGAGATTCCCAGCTGTGGTCAGAGAGGTTTAGCTTATTTTTCTGAGACAAGTCAGTGCCTAGTATTTATTTGTTTTAAAGATACTCTTTTTCCCAATGTTTAGAGAGAAGCTTCAAAACAAAAATGGGGTGTATGTGATCAATTAGATATGGAAAGCCTTGCACGATCTACTCCCTTCTAAAAACTTACGTGCATTGGCATATAAATGGTGGTAAGCCCTTCGGTTAAATCCCATTGACCATATTGCCTTTTAATTTTGTAAAAACTGTGAATATTCTCCACAGTGACTTTTGGTCACTGAGCATTTGAGAGCAAGTGTATTGGAATTAACTGGATAAAGAGAAGCCAGTGATGTGTCCAGATGGGAGCTTGAGATTAGTTGGATATTCTCTTGGTTTTGGCCAGTCCCCTGGAGTCACTAACCTTAGTCAACTTTTCCTTCAGTTGGCAAACTATTCATATTATTGCAGATGGTCAAAATGATATTGCAGATATTTATTAAGTGGATTATGTGCTCTTGGTTGCTAGAAGCTGGAGAAGTCTCACTTTTAAAAAATAGTTAAGAAGAAACAGAGTGGACTTGTCACTTATGCATTTAGTAGTCAAAGTTTTGGCTAATTTTCAGCAGCTGAGGAGGCCACGACATATATTTGCAGTTTAGGCAAGGCACCAGTTTTAATCTTGATGCTAGTTGTGAGAGCCATTCTTCTAGCTGGCTTGTGAAGTAAGCCTAGATGCCCTTTTGAGAATCACATTCCATTGTGCTATTATTGCTGGTATCGTGTGCTTTTATTTTTACATTCACAAGAAGAAGTGGTCTGTCCTAGTGGTATCCATAGGTCTCAGGATGGTTCCTGGTGTCAAGGAATTTTCCATCTAATTAGGGACTTGACTGCTTAGTAATCTGGGTACCAACAAAGGGACTGTGAGTAAAGGTGCCTCATAGCAGTAGGGCCAGGCCCAGGCTGACAACCAGCTGTCCCTGTCACAGTTAGTTTCCCAGCATGTTGGGTGATTACCACTGCCATTCTCTATCCCTACCTCCTCCCCCAGATTGGCCTCCTGCTGCATATAGGCCAGATGGGCTGAAGGATAGACAGTGCCTGGCAAGGAGAGAGCCACTGCCTTAGAGTTATCAGGGATGTCTTCCAGCGGGGGACACTTTGGGAATGGTGCCATTACTTATTATTTTATCAGCCTATTTCCAGGTTATGCCAAAAATAAAAATATAATCATTTCCATCCCAAATATTAATTTGGTCAGTCCCTACTTTAGAGATAAGTATGTTCCAGAAATTTGTAAGTTCGTTGTTTGTAACTAAGAACTGTTTTCCCACTAAAACAACTTGGTTAAGTTACAAGTCTGGTCCACAGAAATATACTCAATTCATTTTCTCTGAGGGTCAGAAGTTGATGGGCCATTCATGTTCAGCTGAGGACCATTTTAAATTTGTTTTTAAAGATACTAGTCTTTGTTCTATCTGGCAGCAGAATGGAGCCTGGGTCTCTGTTCACCCTTATCAGGGATGGGGTCAATATCTCAGACACCTTAATAAAAGGGGTTCACACTAGTTTTCTATTTCCCCAAGGGCGATACTGTCTCAAGCCAAGTTCCCCTCACCCCTACCAGGTGATGTAAACTTAAAAAACAGCGAAGTTGACCAGCTGCACCTGCTGTTTGGGGTGGTTGGGGACTTTTAATTCTCCTGAACCAGCTTTCCAGATGGAGATTTCTGGCCTCATTTACAACCTGTTGTCACCAGGCAGTGTCTGGAAACCACTGGTGCCCAACCTAGAGGGGCGGGGGGGTCTTAGGACAGCAAGGAACCGCTCCTAGTTCTGGATTTGCTGTAGTCTCTTACAGGCCTCTTCATTAACTCCCCCCTGTGCTTTCATGTGCCCACCCTGATGTGCTTGTCTACTCCATGGGGAAGGCAAGGTGCTGTGAATATGTTTGCTATATTCCTCGCTGTCTGAAAGGGAAGGATGTCCCCCACACAGTGGGGAGCAGTGGGAGTTGATGCTCTTTTAGACCCTTGTAAAGGGGCAGGTAGCTTACTGGGTACAAGTTGACATGCACACCATTTGAGATCCTCTTTCCACTAGATGGGGATGGACAGGGAGAGATTTCCAGTGCAGCAGAGAGAACTGTAGACGGAGGAAGCTGTTCCATATTTCAGTGTTGGGCTTCTGTGTGCTGTAAAAAGCTGCCTCAGTGGCGTTAGACTCCATTTACTTGGTCTGACTTTATTTATTGCTGTGAGACTGTGCTGCCTGCTGGACTATAAATAAAAGAGTTCTTCAGTAGTAAAGGGGTTTCTGCCTCTTTTTCCCCTTCTTTTTCCATTCTCAACCACTTTAAAATTTGGATAGGTGCTTACAGCAAAGTTCTGCTGGCCTACATACAAGATACCCTTCTATTTACGGGTAAGCAGAATGATAAAAATAACTGACTCTGTGGTGAATCAGTGGAATTTTACTGACTTGCTCCCCAAGTGTATCGGCAGTTTACTCTAAGAGTGTTGGCACCATCTCTAGAGGAGATTGATTCTCCTCTGTAGTTTTCCCGTTAGCTAACATTTCCATGTTCTTGTGCTTTCCTGCCAGCATCAAGTCAAGGCCAGCATCCTGACCCCATTCTTGAGTATAGGTATGCTGTAGCCTGTTTCAAGGCAAGGCTGTTGAGTCCTGGGAGGTTTCTAAGTGGCAGTACCCTTAGATTTGTAAGGATTCTGCTTTGTAAGGTTCTTAAAATGAGACCCAATTGATATAAAAAGAAATGAGGCTTTTGCATGCAGACAGTGCCTTGGTTTTAAGGTGAATAATTTACTGTCTCTGTGAAGCCTGAATCCAGAAAGGTTTAACCAATATAGTTTAGGAACTGGCATCCAAACAGATCTGTTTCCTATCTACAAAAAGGCTCCAAGATGCTTCAAGGCTGCAAAGCCCTCCCTCCCCCTCCTCTACCTCCTCCACCCACTGGGCGCCACTGAGTGCTTCA